GGAATGCCACAAAAGCAAGTGAAAAGTCTTCTTACTAATGCGGTGTTGATTCTTTTTAACATAAGACACATTTTCAGGTGAAGAAAGTGAGATTCTTTTCTTTTCCGTGCAAGAGAGCAGTTGTTTGGAGAAGATGTGTTTTGCTCACATGCTGCCCGCCCAGTTCCCCAAGGGGACTTGCCTTCTGCGGTGGCTCGTTGCCAGCCCACAGCTGGCAAGGTGCCGCTCCTTCAGCATTGCGATATCAGCCCTGAACGAGCTGTTGATCTTCGCTATATGCAAACATCTACCCTGATCTTAAGCCTAGAAGTGGCCGCAGGAGTTTGTGCACCTCTGACGGAGGCTGTTGCCGTATCCTGGGGACTTTGGTGAGGAGCGCCTGCGTGCACAGAGTGTGTGACCTTCTGCAGCTCCTGAGCAAAGTCCAGCAGCTGGCTGTACGTGCCCAAGGAACCTGAGCTGCACTGTCAGACTTTGCAATGCAATGGATTAAAAACATGCACAAGGTCCAGTCGGGCTCTGTTACAGGATTGGTAATGCCCAGAATGACAGGAGGGGCTTAGTCATATTACTCCTGTCTTTCAGAACTCCTTGGGAATTTGGGAGAATGGGGAAGCGGGGAAGGGAAAACAGTAAAGAGTGAGATAACCTATGAAGCTGTCAAAACTGTGCTCTGATCTTTGGTCCCTGACTGTTATCATTATATTTACAATGCAGAGCTAGGACTTTGCAAGTTGGTTCTAAGCCTTTGGCTCTTGGGGACACTTGAATGTTACTGATGGGTTGAGAGGCACCATAACAGCTACAAAGTGCCATGACATGCCAGCCTAAACTGGCCACAAAGCCGGTTAAACCTAGGAGGTGGTATCCCTGTCAATACCACCATCAGCAGTAAGGCGAGGAACTTAGAGGCCTCTATCTTATAAAAAGTAATCCCAGGTTTCTAGCACTTCTGCTCTCCCCCTTCAGTGCTTCCCTGCTTATTTCCCAAATGAGGCAGTGGAAGGAGCCAGCAGAGAGGTTTTTCCACTGTCTAGCCTTCAGGAGGAGAGGTTCAGGCTACCCTACTTTTCTATTGAGGAAAGCAAAGGATATTGACTTTTATCTAATAAGTTTCAAAACCACTTCTTGCTTTTAATCAAAAATCTCTGTGTGTGCATGTGAGGGAACAAGACACTTTACCTGTGTGATCCAGATGGCAATGTCTTAAAGCCTGTTTTAAATTTGATTTTTATCAATAAATCTGTACGAGTTCATGAGTCTGGACGAATGTCTGTGGTTTAGATGGTTTTGTCACTGTATACACAATGTTATTACCTGTTATTGTATGCACAATGTTGTACTGTATGTCTGAAGGAGTAGTAGCTATAGCTACAGTAAGAATTCTTTAAAAACCCAGGCCAAACCTAAAGAATTATGAGACCATGAAGAAATATATTTTTTAGCCTGTATACACTCCAGCATGTTTATATTGATCAGGCACTGGGATGCACTGCCCAGGGAAGTGGTGGAGTCACCGTCCCTGGAGGTGTTTAAGGAGAGGCTGGGTGTGGCATTTAGTGCCCTAATCTGGCTGATGTGGTGGTGGTGGGTCATAGGCTGGACTTGATCTCAGAGGTCTTTTCCGGCCTCAACAAGTCTGTGATTTTCATGTAGGAGTACAAGTGATGGTTTTCTTTAAGTCATCAACCTGCAGGTATGTACTGTAAATGAAGATTTCAAGAAGGTCAGCTTCTCTCCTTCTTGTGTTATACTAGTCTGACCAACTTAGTTGTGGATTTTTTATGAAGACACCTTCAGGAGTGCTGCTGAAGATTGAGCAAAATTTTACTTTACTATTCCACCTTTTTTCTGTTCACTCTACCTGAATATGCAGTATTTCAATTCTCAATACAATATACTTTTTATGCACAAAAAATTAAAGAGAATGCGTTATTTTCCCTGAATGATAACATTGTGAAAGATTAAGATGGAAGATGCTAAATTACAGGAAGCCCAGAAAAATAGGTATCAGTTCAGTCTTTGGGGTTTTTTTTCCTTATTTTCTTTTTTCCTCATGAGATTTGAAATCTTATTATCACTTTGTTATTTTGATGCCTTCTTACAGACTTCTTAGTAAAATGTGTTTTAATTTGGTGCTGAATTCTTGAATCACAAGACCTGAACTGGGATGAACTTCCCTCTGCCTAGAACTGTATAGCTGACCAGCTACGTGGTGCTGGCTTTTAATTTCCCAATTATTTTCTACTTGTGTTCAGTTTTAGAAGTAGGATAAACATCTAATTAATCTGGAATGCAAATGTTTTAAGTATAGGCTTTGCTTCAGAGAATTTTTCAAGGGAGAGCCTTTCTTTAAGCGACAAACTTCTGTTTTCGTTATTTGCAGTTAAATAATGCATCTCTAGGTGGCAGTAGGACACATGGATATGTTTTCCTTCTGTCTGCAAAAGAGCTGTTGACAGAATGCTTGCAGTTTCATGGGTTTTGTTGGTGTGGTTTATTTTATTCTCCCTGTAAAAGTATATACAGGATCACTGAGCTCCTTGGCCCTTGGATCAGAAGGAAGAGTGCCTTGGAACAAATAAAGAATAATTTGTGTTCAGTTTTATAGATACCAAAACTTCAAACTGTTGAAGTTGACACCAGCCAGTTATCTTTTTTTGTTGTTTTAAAACAACGCGTTACACTGAACATGACAAGAAGGCTTAATTACCCAAACTCGGTATTTATCAGCAGGCGTGACCAGCTCCAGCTGCCCCAAACTGGTGTTTGGTGGCAGGTGACGACTGCAGGCATCCTTCAAAAATTTTCACTTCTGTTTCGCTGCTTTTTAGCTCAGTTTAAAATACAAGCTGCTTGAAAAAAATTCTACAGTGCTGTTCCCCTCAGCAGTTCTTCTAGTAGCTTATATGACTGCTCAGTTCCTCCAAAGACTTGTGCCTTGAAGTATTTGACTTTTACCTCATGCAAAGCTTGGGACTAACTTTCCTCTTTTTTTTTATCATTACATGAGCGTGCACAGAAGGAATTGGCTGTAGCAGTTGTCAACATCAGGACCTTATGTAAAGCAGTTTAGAAAATCCAATATCATCCAATTCACTGGAGACTGATTATGAAACAAAGATTAGTATAAATATTATGACTAAAAATGTTCTAAGGAAATCCATTTTTTTCTAACTGCTCTGACATAAGTCACAGGTAGCTTGCTGCTTCTTACTGAAGTTCTGTCTGTTGCAGATCTCTTCCATAGAAAAAAAATGGAAAAATACTCTCTTTTTTTTATGATTTTCTTCATTACTTAGAGATGCCTTTTACTGCAATTTTAATTGTATTCAGAAAAATATGTAGGTGAGAATCCCACGTACTATAATACCATCATATTTTCTACTGCCCATGTGATACACCAGCCTGCCTGGGGAGGGCCACAGAGATGCAGAGAAGACAAGTTACTCCTAGATGAGGTCAAGCAAAAATAAGTTACTTTGCATATGTGTTCTTTCATTTTAGAAGATGTGGGGGTGTTAAGCTGAGATAAAGCATGTCAAGGATATTAGTTTTGCAGTGTGATAAACTACATATCTGTGGAATGTCTTTCCATTTTTGTCCTTACTTTTGCATGTGACAGTAAAGTATATTAAGCTGAAAAAATAAGGCTTATATGATGTGTCACCTTCTGTAGTTCAAAACTAATGTATTTTATGAAATACACTTAAAAATCACTGGTGGTTTGTATCACGTGTTTAAAAATGGAAGTATATTCAAAATTACAGCTTAAACCTGAGCACCTGACTTTTTTCTTAATGTACTGTAAGCCAGTCTTTCATATAACTTTCCAAAATGGCACATGTAAAATGTGATTAAATCAGAATAAGAATTGTACTGTTTATTTTAAAAATTAGTATTAAAAGACCTGATTTCTGCTTATTATAGTGAAATTGTTAAAGGATCTTTACATTGTCTGTTTTGACCTAAATACTTGAATATATTCCCATCCTTTGTAAGAAACCCAAGGGGGCTTGGTTTTTGACTTGGCAGAAAAATGTTCACTGATTGTTCTGGCAGTTCAGTACCAGTTTCTGTCAACCTTTCTGGCTTTAGAATTGTCAAGCAAAAATGCATAAAATCAAGCAGGAATTGTCAATGCCCCATTAAAATTTCTCTTCACAAACAGCTGCCGAAATACAACGAATACTACATCAGCTTGGAACACCACAAGACACTCCGGAGTTGAGGCAACAGCTGTGAGTACTTCACAAGAAAATGTCTAATTTCATTGCACTGTAAACAATCTCCTGGTGGGTGATGAGGTGTTTTTTTGTTAGGCAGAGTGTTTGATCTTGCCGAGAAAGGCAAGTGTAGAGAAATACTTGAAACTTAAACGTTGAGATGCACTTTTTAGAATTAATCTTGGATAGTCTGTAAACTAGAGTCAGCCGGTTTGCCCGTGTGTGTTGCCTGCAGTAGCAATACATCTGTAAAATCTCTACTGTGTGTCAGGGAAGGTGGCAGGACCAGAAAGCATTATCACTCTAAAACCGGTCCAGTCAGCTCTTGAAATCTGCCTGTGTAAGGTTCAAAACATAATTATGATATTGGTGGGGTTTTTTTGTGAGATGAGATACAGTAATGGATGATCATAGAATCATAGAATGGCCTAGGCTGGAAGGGACCTTAGAGATCATCTAATCCAACCTCCTTGTATGATATTATAGAATAAACGCGTACAAGAAGTAATAAAATAGCAGAAGTTGAAATCAGGCTCCAAGGCAGATACTGTGCTATGGTTTACCTGAAGGTGGACTTTCATTAATACACCAGTAGCAGAGGCAGTCGGCTGCTCTCCACTTCTCTGCACGGTCTGCTGATCCAATATGATTTTATTTTATTTTTTTTTCCATTAAACTCCTTTACCACATTAATCTCAGCGTCATAAAAGCACACAAGTGAAGTGTTGTGCTAACCCTAGGGGTGAGAAAGTTGGCAGTCGACGGCATGGTTCATGCTGCAGCTCTGTAGCTGTTGAGCAGGAGGAGGAGGCGTGTGCTGGACCAAAGGTGTCATGTTCATTTGATGTGAAAAGCCAGTTTGCTTTACAGTGTCCTGAGTTCAGGTCCCATAACATTACTCAGCTACAGTCCACAGTGAATATCCTCCTGGAGACTGGGAATAGGTGAAAATCAGCATATACAGTCTATGCAATAATCAGACATGATCTAGGCATCAATTCACAGATAAAAAGGATAGAAGCTGTTGTGAAAAGACATGTTCCAGTCCCTTTGTGGAGGTAATATGTATGGTAAGCTTCTCTGAGTTTTCATCTGTCCCTTTATCACGTGTCTGAACATTCGGCCTTTTGTTTCATGTTGGTACCTATCTGAAGAGTTATTTGATAATTTTAAATATTGATGTTGATTGTTTGTTAGTAGCTTTCCAGATAAAACTTTTCTATATACACGGGGGAGGAGAATGCAAAAGCAAATACAGAGTTTAAGTTACTCCAGGTGGGGAAAAAAAAAAAAAAAGGAGATTGATAAAGGAATGTGTGATAATATCAAAGCAAAGAGACAAAAATCCCACAAAACAGCTCTTTTTTTTTAAGCACTGTTAAGGCTCTTAGTAAATAATGAAGTTTCAGCTAAGTCTGTAACTACTGTATCATGGGAGAATATAGATCTTTTTGGGCTTCACAGTAACTATCACGAGTTGACCTTTCATGGGCTGTGATATTAGAATTCTATTCAAGCCACTGTATGCACTTCCACACAGAAAATAACTGATCTTATCTACAGTTACTCTGAACTCAAAAATGACCAGGTGTTTTCAACTATCAATAGCCTCAAGAGGACCATGGAAAACGTGTTTAGTTATCCATAACAACTAGAAACCTATTACTGCAAATTAGGAAAACAGAGAGGAAAAAAAATCTCAGAAAGAAAAGCTGATTAATAAAGCTGTCACACTAAGGAACACACAATGATGTCATGCCTTTGCAGTGAAGAACAGAATAAAGATGGCTTGATGCACTTCAAAGAAGCCTTTAGTACTGCTGCTTTTCTGATAATCAGTGAAATTCAAACAAAGTAACCCAATGGCCTCTAATGAAACTTTGTACTTGGTTTTAGGCAACAGAAGCAGCAATACACCAACCAGCTTGCCAAAGAAACTGACAAGTACATTAAAGAGTTTGGATCTCTGCCTGCAACAAGTGAACAGGTATAAAACCAAAGAGCATGGCTTGTTTGACTGTCATGTTGGCTCATGTAAGGTCTGCATGCCTGTTTTTATGCTCCTTACTGTTTTTTCAAAGTGTATTTCGTTAGTCAATGCATTTACACAACAGGGACACTTACAACATAGGAATATTTTGTTGCAGTCTGGGCTTGTTTCAAAGTTGGTTTTACGTATCAAGAATGAGATAGTTTGGCTGAAGTGACAGGAATTGAGGTAATGCACTGTGTCTGTGATTTCAGGTAGCTGGGAACTTTATAATCTTTTGTAGTCATGTGAAGTCTGACTCCTTAGGCACTCTGACTGCTTCCCAGGTCAAGAAATTGTGTGCCAAAACTGCTTGCAGGACAGGTGGCCAGACCTCTTCACCCACTCTCCAAATGATTTGATTATCATAAAATCGTAGAATTGTTTAGGTTGGAAAAGACCTTTAAGATCGAGTCCAACCATTAATTTAGCACTGCCAAGTCCTCCACTAAACCGTATTCCTAAGCACCACATCTACATGTCTTTTAAACACCTCCAGGGATGGGGACTCAACCACTTCGCTGAGCAGCCTGTTTCAACATGTAACAACCTTTTTGATGAAGAAATTATTCCTAATGATCAATCTAAATCTCCCCTGGTGCAACTTGAGGCCATTTCCTCTTGTCCTGTTGCTTGTTACATGGGAAAAGAGATAGACCCCCCCCACCTCACTACCTTCTTTCAGCTAGTTGTAGAGCGTGGTAAGATCTCCCCTCATCCCCCTTTTCTGCAGGCTGAACAACCCAACTTCCCTGAGCTGCTTATCATAAAACTTGTTCTTGAGACTCTTCACTAGCTTCTTTGCTCTTCTTTGGACACACTTCAGCACCTCAATGTTTTTCTTCTAGTGAGGGGCCCAAAAGTGAACACAGGATTCAAGGTGCAACCTCACCGGTGCCAAGTACAGGGGGGCGATCTTGTCCCTACTCCTGCTGGCCACACTATTCCTCATACAGCAAGATGCTGTTGGCCTTGTTGGCCACCTGGGTGCTCTGCTGGCTCATGTTCAGCCACTGGCTGTCCACCAGCACCCCAGGTCCTTTTCCACCTGGCAGCTTTCCAGCCACTCCTTCCCAGGCCTGTAGGCTTCCAAGGGGTTGTCGTGATCCAAGTGCAGGACCCAGCACTTGGCCTTGTTATGCACAGGAGGTCTGTTCCACATCACGCAGAACAGCGTATGTGCTATGCCTTGTCCACAGATTTTTTTTCTTTCTTAGGAGAAGTGGACAGGAGCTGTTGCTATAATAAATTGTGCAGTCTTTAAACTACTTCTTTCCCAGGTCTGTGTAAAATATCATCAGGACGTGGTGTGAAGTGGTCGTTGTCATTAGCACACTTCGGTCTGGCATCACATGGTTTCTTATCCTAGTGAAAACTGTTGCTTCAATAAGGAGGGAGCAACAGGATCCCAAAAAACATGGATTCAGGTTATCGCCACTCAAACAACTTGCCTGATCTGTGGCTGGTTACCAAGGGGCCTTTAGGAAAATTAGTTGTCTTGAAACACTGAATTCAACAGGCACGATCCATGTATGCTCATCCTGTCAACTTGCAAACATCTTATGGAGGTATTCAAACTTGGGCTTGGTTATAACCTCTAATTCAAAGTCTGTTGTGGGTTTTTTTATGGTTTCTGTGTTTCTTGGGGATGGAAAATTGATGTTGAGATGTTTTATTGTTTAATTTTACCCCTTTTATCATGATCATCTTCATCAAATGAAATGCGTAAGTTACAATGAAAAGCGTAAATAATGAAATGCATAAATTACGATTGAACAATGACAAATTACAGCTTCTCAGAAATTTGGAAGGAAGGGTTGCTGTAATGTATACATTTAGGGAAATATGGTGCCAGCTTTCTTGAGTGCCCAGTATTCCTCTTCCTTCCCCTAGATCTTAAAAAACCAAAAGCTTGAAAGGTTAAAAGAGGTATTTTTTTACCTGTTCTTAAGCACTTGAGGGGGGATGTGAACACACTTCTGGATGCAGCTCAATATGTATTTGCAGCATTTTTGTAAAATACATATGAAGTGCCCTATTTTATTTTTTTTTTGCAGCCTTCCTCCCCATTCAGTCACCTTCGCATGCTTTAGCATCTGTGGTATCAAAATATTTAACGCTTAAACATTAGGGTTTATAATCAACAGATAATAAGAAAAGTAGAAACTTTCTTATCCTTGCTTATTTCTTGTTTTCAGCTGTTAAAATAACTAAATTGATTTCCTCTTAAGCGCCTTAAATTTGTGCTGATTTACGTGAACCCAGAGGAAACGAAGGTTTCTCCATTTAGTTGCAAATGATTTTGTAGACAGCCTTCCCTTATACCTATTTAGAAAAAAAAAAAAAAAAGAGAGTATATGCAGCCTGGAAATGGCAGAGCCTTGAGAAGTTTGAGCTCATTTGACTTGGTAATTTTTTTTTTTCCTATAGCGTCAAAGAAAAATACAGAAAGACCGTCTTGTGGGGGAGTTCACCACAGCACTAACAAATTTCCAAAGACTCCAAAGGCAAGCTGCTGAGAAAGAAAAAGACTTTGTAGCCAGAGTAAGAGCCAGCTCCAGGGTATCTGTAAGTATCGGAAAGTGTGCCATTGTACTCTCTTTACAGTGGTGGTGGTGGTGTTCCATGTCATACTTGCCACCACAGTGCTGCTTGCAAAAGTTCTCGTCTGACCACAAATACTGCAGAACATGTGCTAGATGATTTTATAGGAGAGGCTGAATTAAGTTGTAATAACCACCCCCCAACAACTGTGACTTTTTCCTTGAACTTTGTCACGCGGTAATCTTGCAAAGGCAGTTTTTAGTAGATTTTGAAATGCTTTTGCTGAACGTTTAGATTATTCCCACGGGGAAGAATCACTTGCTGTACATCTATAGACAACCAAAATGAAGAAGTGCTGAGAAGCTTGAGATGCTGAGCGTTTCCTTGTTAGCATATCAATTTTTGCCTTTTCACTCTGTTTTAAAGGCACGTTGCTGTACTTGTCAATTTTAGCAGGCAATTACTTAGCTGAGTGTTCTTGCTTGTATTTCAGCTTTATGCACACATAAAGCAAAATCACAATGAGAACATGTTAAATCATGTGTCAGTTTGAAGTTGACGTATTATAAACGTTGTAATATTGGCTCATTATAGAAATGCTGACTGTGCCCCTGTCAGGGCCATAATGTTTTGTTTATGTTTTTAAACACTGATCATGTAGGGTGGTGCTCCTGAAGACAGCTACAAAGAAGGAACACTTGTCTCTTGGGACAGGTAGGCTGAATTTGTTAATAAGTCTTAACCTAGATCAGAATAATAGAATGCCTGCAGGGAAGACAGCTGCCAATGTTTTTAATGTTTTTTCCTGATCGACTGCCTTTTTATAGAGAGAGTTGGGATGGAGTGTTCAGTAAGGCTTTCTTCCCAGGCCAAGTGCAGAGAAAAGGCTTTGGTGAAGTAGGTGGGAAGGAAAAAGAGCAGTTCACGTTGTCTCCACGTTTTTTCCCATGCCTTCGGCTTTGGTCATGTCCCTAAGCTGCCCTAAGTCTGTATTTAGGCTTTCTGAGACCCAAACTCAGGTAAGCAGAATCCAGCCTGTGAACAGAGCGAGAGTGTTAAGTTGTGATAAGGGTCCAATCTGGGATCTCCCATTGCTTTCATATTCTCCAGGAACAACTTCTTAGTCTGAGATTCTGTTTTGTTGGCTACCTTGCTTCTGCCTCAGATGGATATAAACTCTGCAGTTTATAATTCAGAAGAAACTTTGGGAATTTCCAGCCAGCTAGCTCCATGCCGTGTGCAATGTTGCCACAGCAACAACTTCCTGTACCAAAGGTGTGACTGTTGGACCTTCCCTGTTAGCTAGACGAGGAAGGGTAAAAACATGCATTTTGTTAACTGATAGTAGAAAGTATGTGCTGTGTATTTAACTGCCTTTTTATTCTTCTGAGCTATGTCTCGTTGTGCCTGTTCAATTCTGGGTGGGGTTTTTTTGTTGTTTGATAGCCAACCACAAGCACAAGTGCAAGATGACGAAATTACAGAAGATGACCTGCGGCTTATTGAGGAGAGGGAATCTTCCATTAGGCAGCTTGAGGTAAGTACAAGTGGCTTTGCAGCAGAATATGCTTTAAAAATTTCCAAAGAAGAAACATTTTCTAGTGGTGTGAGCATTAATTGCAGACTTTAATCTTGTGGAGTTAAAGTTTGTTTGTGGCGGTGTTCCGTAGAAACTTCAAATATTTACTTTAAGTGTGAAATCCGTGTTAGTAAGACATATTTTGATGCTGTGTTTAACTTCACTGCTTCAGTTACGGAATAAAGAGAGCGCTCATGTGATTGCAAGGACAAAACACACACCATTTTTTTCTGTACCATTTTATTCATTTGGATTAAATGGGTAGCTTTTAAGCAATATTAGCATGAGCCTTTCCCTTCAGTTAAACTGACACAAGTGTATGTGTGTAGAGAAGACCTCAGCAATGAGAGGTCCTGTTTGTGATGTGACATGAAGTGCACTTTGTGCACATACTCATCCTCAGTTCGTTTGATTATAAGCTTGGTCTCGTAGTACCGAAAAGACCTTGCAAGTAAACACAGGTTTGGTGGTTGGTTTTTTTATCCTATAGTGTAACGAGTGAAGAATGTGTACTTAGGAGGAGCAGTATCCGTATCTGAATATGCAGAGATGCTAGAAAATGTTATGTTGATTAGTGCGATGATTGTTTCCTTGCAGGCAGATATTATGGATATCAATGAAATTTTTAAAGATCTAGGAATGATGATTCATGAGCAAGGTGATGTGATAGGTAAGTCAAATTCAAATATTCTCAGTTTGTTTTTTTTTCTCTTTCTCTGGAGAACAGCAATGTAGAACTTCCTTTTGCTGGAAGAATCCTTTAACGATAATATCAATGCTAAAGCAAATCAGTTGGAACCTAACAATGGGTAGACTAGCTGAAGTGACTGCGAGTACATTAAGAAAGTGTGTTTAAAATGTAGTTTAGAACATTACGTGGTTTTTCGTGTGTATAAAATGTCATTGAAAGTAGTTCTTTTAACTGTTTTTACATAAAATTAAGAGTTCATGTGGGGAGTTTTGAATTAATGAATGAATGATCCTGTGCAGATTCAGCAAAGTTTCCTGGTTTGCCTGCCATACAGACAGGTTTATTCTTTTAACAAAATGTGATTGGAAAATATATTTTCTGAGTCTGCTGCCAAGCCATGGTGTTGTCTGTGCCCAGCATATATTTTCAGGGCTTTTTCTATCACCTTAGCCTACAATCTGTTCGTGTTTTTCCAGGAAAAAGAAAATAAATCTCTATCAGTATGATAGAATGCCAAACTAGAGTCGTGTCTCTTTAGGGTGTTTTGTGTGTCTATTTTCCTCTGATTTCATAGGCCTTAGGGCTTTTTTAGTCTGAGCAGGGTTTAGTCAATAGCAAGTTGGAGGACAAGTAAAAGCTTAAAAAAAGAAAACAATAGTACTGAAAGTTTCTACCCCAGTTGATATTTAGGGTTCAGCCCTGTATCTAGAACAGGGGAGCTGTTACTGACAGGAATTCAGCAACTCATTGCCGGGGCAGTTCTGAAATGAAGTAGAGTGTTAAGTATAGGATGGGCCAAACTTCCGTAGTACAAGGTATAAAACTTTAGCCATTGGTGAAGACACCAACATTTGGGGGGGCAACTGTTGCATATGCTCTCAAGGGTATTTCAGCATTTCCAAACCTTTGGCTGGGTTATGACTAATGAAAATTTGAAACCTTTTCTTTTCGAATAAAGACAGCATAGAAGCCAATGTGGAAAATGCAGATGTACATGTGCAGCAAGCAAACCAGCAGCTGTCAAGAGCAGCAAACTACCAGGTAATGTCAATGCCGACAGCTGGTTGTGTGTACCTGTCCTTTCTCAGTAGTCCTGACTTCCACTTTCTTATGCAGTTGAGATTTTGTTTATCAGTTTCCTCACGGTTGTAGACCTAAAGGTTTACATTAGGCTATAATGATATGTCTAGGTCACTATAAAACAGAAATCCATGACCTCTGAAAGCTTATGAAATTAGCCAGGTTGTTTCAGAGCTCTTGGAGCTATACTTTATTTTTCTATAAAACCAAGCAATCCCCTCCTTTTACAGCTCAAGAAGTGAAAGGTTCTTGTATTTGGAGATCAAGCCTCTAAAGATCACTGGAAGAGTAGGGAACATAAACAGGAAAGTCTTCTGAAAATGCTGTCAATTAGTACCATTTTTTGCTGTCTAAAATCTTCTCAAGACTGTATATATCCAGCTTCCATTAATTGCTACCCTGATGCTAAAAACATTTCAAACTCTCAAACTTTTGTGAAAAGCTTTTTAAATACCTTTAAAAGCCACTTCTTTATAACATTTTTGGAACTTATTAGAAATAATCTTATTAGTAATAAATCTTCCCTCTTTAGTCAGTTAGTCCTTAGGCTTTTTTTTTTTTTTTTTTTAATCCTTTTTTTTAATTTCCCCTTTTTGGTATTTGAGCCTTGGGTTTTTTTTTTTTTTTTTTTTTTAATCCTCTTATGTGTGTTAGTAGTAGCCAGGACAGTAAATCAATGACAAAATGTCTGAAGGATTGCATGCTCATTTCAGAAGTGGGAGAGGGAAAGGAGTGGATGTATCCTTGAACTGTACTCTAGGTGGTACTAATTGGCACCTTAATTATGGTTAGTGATTCCTGTTTTGATACTGGCAAAGTTCAAGGGGCTAAAAAACAGTAACAGTCAGAATTTTCTGTGGAAGGTGCTAGTCTTCTGTTCGAAATTTAAAATTAGTAACTTGACACTTTATCTTGAGGAGGAAAGAATGAGTACCTCCTTGATCTCAAAGGTTATTGAGACTTTTGCCCAGCTCAGTGAGTCTTGCGGCAGAGACTAAACACTCTGTGGAGCTGGCTTATGTTTGAACAGATTGAGTAGTTTACTTCAGATTTGAACTTTCCCTTGCTTGTAAACTCATCATTGTTTCAAGACACTGAAAAAAACATTTCTACTTTCAGCAGACTTACTTTGATTTTGGCAACCATTATAACTGTATGGTCTGATCCCTCAAGAAAGGGTTAGAGGCCCAGGCATGCTGGTGGGGCTGAGGCTGCACATGGTTGGTACCAACTCCTGTTTGGGGTTGGACAAGTTGTGCACCCCTCATCTGCCTTGTGGGGTGCAATCCCACAGCAGAGCTGTGTGGGCAAAGCCAGGCTCCTGAAAAAGGATGAAAAAAGAAGAGACTGAGAGTGTAAGGAGAGAACTAGCCACAGATTTTAAGTAGGAAGGTACTCTAGCAAATGGATTGAGTCCTAGCAAGTCAAATGATGAAATAAAAAAAAAATCTTAGCCTGATGATGGAACAAGGGGCAGTGGGAGTGTAAAACTAGAAGAGAATAGTTGAGAAATTGGTAGCCTGGGTCATACTGGTCAGAGAACTGGTAGCTCCAGTGAAGAACTGATACAGATGTAGCTCTCCAGGGAGGGGAAAACAAACAAAAGAAAAAATGCCCAGGCAGAAGAACCTCTGCCAAATAGAGCAAAGCCTGGCTTTACTTCTGGAGCTGTGGTCTCGAATCCCAAGATCGGAGTGTTGTTATCCCTCATCTATCAGCAAAAGCCTGTGAAACCCACTGGTAGTTTCCTTTCCTCCTGTGAAGGAAACCTTCAGATCCCATATCCTTCAGATAAAAGATGACAGACTGCTACCAGTCTTGGGTGCTCTGATGTTTTAAGTTACAGACATGTATCAGAGATGTGAAAGTTCTGAACATGCTCATAACTACACTAAATTGTAGTGTATAACACTGTGTAGTATACTACTGTATAACTGGGTCTCTAGTCAGGGCTCTTCTTTCTTTTTGTTGTTTTTTTTTTAAAGAGTAAGTTGTACCTAAGAAACTTCACAAAAACAACTTTAAATGACTCTGCCAATAGAGGCAGTCAGTCTTCCAGAAGTCTAAAACTGCAGTCCATTGTCCCTTTTTGTAGCTACATTAATAGTCTTTTTTTTTCCTAACAGACCATTTCTAACACTCTCCTTTACAGTGCAGATTGATTGTCCATTTTCTTCTGTGTGCAGTCACCTGCTCTCTCACGTTTTCTTTCCCCCAGTGTTCTAATTATATCCATTCATTATGTTACTGCATTCTCTTTCATAATGTATACCTGGAAACATCACTGAAATCATTCAATTGAATAATATAGCTATAAAAGTAAGCTGTGGATAGCTTTGCTCTTTTTTTTTTCTTTTATTTTTTCTTGAACAACTTTATATGATTTGTTGTTGTTAGTAAGGACACAGTTTAGTGAGACTGCACAAGCAGGAGGATCATAAAAGCATTTGAGTAGTCTTCTGATGTAATAGTGCAGTTTTCAATCAACTTTTTTTTTTCCCCCTCTGTTGACAGCAAAAGTCCCGAAAGAAGATGTGCATCCTCATAATTGTACTTGCTGTTGGAGTATGTCTTCTTGGACTCGTCATATGGTTATCTGTAAGATAAGTCACTGGAGAAAGTGTTGTATTTGATATTTAAATTATGAAAGGAAATTCCCAGTCATGTTTTGCTCATTGTGAAGCTGAGTAAAATAATGGTTCTGTACTTCGTCACACTTACTTTTTTTTATAAGACTTTTGTTTTAACCTGAGAAGTGATGTTCTCAGTACTAGTGTCAGTAAAACTGCCTTGGATGTGGGTACTGTCTTACTGGAACACCGGCCAAGGTCATGAACTGTTTCATTAACTTAAACATAATGACCTCTTAAGGTTTGGGGTGCTAATCGAAATTCTGGTAATTTGTTTTGGTGGGGCAGGTAATTGTCTTTTGAGGTATTGCTAAGTGTTGCTGCCAAAAGAGACTCCTGAATTGTTGCTTAAGGCAATGAATTCACATCTCAATTTAAGTCAGAAATGTCTTTGTCTCATTCTCTTCCGTCCTACTCACCTACCCATTTGATATGGGTGATTCAAAAATGTAGATTACTGAAGTTGGTGTGACCTCTTTTACAGCTGAAGCCTTTTAATTAAGTCTTCAGTTTGCCTGAAATCTTTTAGATGCATCATGTATCTCTGTCTCTGGCAGTGGGTATGGTTATGCCTGGAAGCCTGCAAAGGTAGGTAGGGTGGATTTTTTGTTTCGGTTCTTGCATTGCAGTGTGTATCAATGAGCTTGGCTAGATGAAAATAAGCTCTAGCCTATGAATTCTTAGACTTACTGGGAAGAATAGAAATTCCCAGCCTCCTAACTGCACTTGAATATCACTGCTCTGAAACTGCTGTGATTCAGTTTCCATGAAGAGATCCAAAGTTGTATGTAAGGTCTTTCATACAGCTGAAGAAAAGAAGATTACAAGTTCAATTCCAAGTTCAACAGTGGTATTTGAAATTAAGTTGAAATTGGTTGAACTGATTCAAACAGTTTGAAGCATTTGATGCTTATAGCCTTTTAAATGACCTTTTTCCTTCTGTGCCATTTTGTACTAATATCTTAAAAATGTAACAACACTTTTTTGCCAATTAATCAATTTGCCTTTTTAATTGACCTTGATGAACTAATCTGAGAAGTGTACAGATGCACAAGTCACTTAATCTGTATTTTATAAAGTTCTTGTACACTAGACTGATAGAGAATGCAATGTTTACATGGTGAGCTATGAAATATTATTTGGGAACAATCTAAATGTAAGCATAAATGGACTTCAGAATTGTAACTGTGCAACCAAAATAAAGGTCTCTCTTAAAGAGTACATTTTCTCAGTAACTCCTTTTTTGAGAATCCATCTTTACAAGCACAGCCACCATCTTTGCCTCTATGTGAATGGTTGAAACTTCCCTCAACAACTCCTGAGAATTTCAGCTCAGCTGGCTAATCGCTCTGCGTGGTTGCTGATGAGGGGTGCTGAGGGTGGACTGTTACCAGCTCTCCTTTACCATCACATGAAGCTTTTGAGGGATGGAAATCCATGGTGTGGGAAGGAAGCTTGTGTTGCTGTATTTGGATTCCAGAAGCAATGGAGGGAAAATAATCTGTGTGAAACTGCATGGTAATGTTTCTGAGTGACCTGGAAAACATCTCTGAAACAGGAATTTAATTTAAGTTGCAACATGGACTTCTGTGTGTTGAGATCCGAGCTGCTGTGTTCCTGTGGCTGCCTTCGAGCTGAGGTTGGGGCTGGGACTCCATTTACTCTTGCGTGTTAAATAAAAATAAAGCCTCATCCATCAGGAGCTGGTGACAATCAGACTAGGGCAGCAATTTTGAATGACTTAGAAATTCTGTGAGCTGCACAGCATTGCATTTCCCAAACCTCTGCCACAACCTGCTGCCTGTGTTCTTGTTCTTCTGTCTCTGATCTGTCTGCATGTCTTGTATTCCCCGCAAGCAGTCAGCTCTCTTTTCAGAGTCGTGCGCCTGTTTGGTTGCTCTCCAGCGGTAGCAGTTCGGGAGGTAGAGTTTCTTCCTCCTGTCAGGGAGAAGAGTGCTGCCAAGATCCACAGTGCGCGTGTCACTTGCTTCCTACTCATAAAGACTGCTTTTGGAGTGGAGGTGCCTCCCCCACATGCTCTTGACCAAAAGATTTCTTCCTTTCTTCAGTCCCAGTGCCAAGGGCACGCTGGAGCCCTTTACCTCTGGGAGAGTTGAAGGACTGGCCGTCAGCAGTCACGGGGGTGTCTCTGCCTGGGCAACCAGATAGAGCTGGTTGGTGCCAGCGCTGGCAGGGGGTGCTGGGCAAGTCAGCGCTGGAGTATTTACACACAAACTCTTGTACCTGTTGGAGAGAGCAGCCTGCAAGGCTCTAATTGCTCATTAAGCTCATTTTCAAACTCGATTAGGTGAAAACAAAGCGTTGGGCTTTTTTTTGTGTGTGTATTTAGAGTGTCTGTGTTGGGGGGCATAAATATTCCTTTTTAAGCTGAACGTACTGGAGCTCCTGTCTTTTCCCTTTCCTCCATACGTGGACCCTTAACTGTATAAAACGCAATTTCCAAGTGTTTAAAGAAAGCTTTGATACCTATTCAGAACCCAGTAAAACATCTGGACATAACATGTATGAGTCAATGTTTTTAGAACAAAGATTTTGGCTGTTCCAAATTATCCATCAATATCTGTCAGATTAGCGAGGCAAAAAACATGCAATCAAAGCACCCTTCCCTTTACTGAAGGAACCTGGTAAGAATAGTTCCTTTGTAGTTATCTTAACCACACACCAGGGGTGCTTTTCTGTTCTTTCTTGCTTTTTCAAAGAGCTGAAAATCACAGGGGCAGACAGCTTTTTAAAGGCGCCTTTTTTTGTTGCTTCCCCCCCACCCCTGTGCACCTCCTCCCTTGGAAATTGTTCTTGATAATCAGGGTATACAATATTCCCCAACTAACTTTGTACATAAAAGCCTTCTTTAGTCACCACTGTTCGCACTGTGTGCATATAGTTGACAAATATATTTGATGTCAGAGGTATGGGCTAGATTTTGGGCATCTGAAGTAGTTTGAAACCATTAAAAAAATTACAGTCTTGGGAAATAAGGGGTCAAAAGGCGGGGGAAGGGAGATAATGACATCATCTGTTAGTAAAGTCTGAAAGACCAAATACCCTTGTAGCTGATCACTGATTTGGGTTGTTTCAAGAACTGTTCCCATTGCTGGGTGTCAGGTTTGGAAGAGACACTTTGCTTTTTGGTTCTGGTTGAACCTGTTTTGATGCTTTCTGGAGCAGAGGCTTAGCAAGAGAGGAGGGAGCGGAGATCTTGCTGCTGGTTATCACCAGCTGATTACTTTCTCATATACCCACGGTGCAGAGTGGTGCTGAAGTGCATAGCGTGCAGCTTTTCAGTTTGTAATTAAGTCCAAATCTCTCTCCCAAAGCTGCTGCAGAGTGAGGAGTAATTATTCTCTGATGAGGTGCCCACCTGCAGAGCCATGCTGGTTGCTTCTGCAACACAGATTTGGAAGAATAAGTATCTGAAAGTGATCGGCCTTTGGACGTCTTTGTCCTTGTACGTGTGTCTGATGGTGCCCCTGAAGCTGTGGAAGTTTCTGTAGCTTAAGAATGCAGGTGGTGAGGTATTTATTTAGTTCTTTCTGTGTCCTGAACGTATCTGATGACAGTGTTTGCGCCAGAGTTTTGCAAAAAGTGGGGAAGGGAAGTAAAGATAAAAAAGAAATAAATTGGAGGTTGCTAGCAGCATTGTTCACACCCACCTTCCCAACCAAGTTCTTCAGGATTTATCGTGGACTGAGTTATGATCATGTTTTTCCTTTGTTTAATATTTAAGCAGAAAAAGGTTGGTCTTTGGGAGTGCCAACTGAAATCTGAAGAGGTAGTAAGTATGTGCATAATCCAGGCAGTACAAGTGATAAGACACCGTCTCGCCTTTACCCAAAAATAAGGAAGAGCTGCCAGAGCTGTTGCTGTAACTGCAAGGCTTAGGAGGGAGGACTCATCTATACACAAGACCTGCTGCAAGCTCCTCAGCAGCAGCTTCAGCTTCTCCCGAGCCCTTCCTGCTGGGTGGACCTTTATCTAAAGGAGGTAAGCAGGGACAAGGAGAGGATCTTTGCTGGTCTGAAGGAGAACGTCAGCCAGCAACTTGCCAAGAGGTGGGGACAAATACATTCCTTGCCATCTGTGTCGTGTTTGCTCCCATCCACCCTCGCATATGCCTGGATGTTATCTGCAGAGGGAACTGAAAACCTCAAATTGGGTTTCCCAGAGCCCAGCACAAGGGAAGAGTATCTTGTGCTCTTCAAGGACTGCTCCGCCACAGGATGTCACTGAAATAAGGAGAAACCTCATTGTCTCATGCACTGTTCCCTGACAGTTCTTCTTCAACCAGATAAAGAATAAATATAATCTTGAAGACTGGCCACTATGTTGTCAGGGAGAATTAGGCAGAAGAAGCTTGGAGGATTAGAAATGCTTATTAAAAAGTAGATTTAGACTGTCTTTGTAAGATGACAAAAACAAGTTGAGGCTTTCTTATCCTGTGTCATACTTAGTTTTGATGTCTTCCTCAAATCATTATTTATAATAATAAAAAGATAACTTTAAATGGAGAAGGAAACTAGACCATTTGTCCCTGATTAGCATTGTTTCTGTCAGTTTATAAACTACTTTGTAAACTCCCATGGAGGGAACCTGCAGTCCTTGAAGCTCTAGGGAGGAGAGGGGCTGTCTCTGCGGCAATGAGCCACGATCCTTCTTCCACTGCAGCCCCACAGTGGCATCCCTGGAAAAAGGCAGCCTGGCACCTGGGTGGCCAGACAAAAGCACAATACATCATTAATTTTCAAGTGTTAAGGCAAAGCAGGTTTTTCATTTAAAGGATTAAATACCCTCAAATATTACTTGCTGCAAGAGGGATAGATGTGTGCTTCTTTGATGCCTGAGTTTTAGAGTCAGTGAAAGGGCTCTTCTGCAGCCTGGTGTGCCATCATGTGCTGGGGTGGGATGTGGTAGTTATTTAAGCTCATCTGGAATAGGAATAGTCAGGTGTTTGAACACCTGAAGAGTCTGAAATTACAGTGAGAAAATGCAGCTGGATCATTGGAGAGAGCCGTTTAGGTGTCCCTTCATAGTTGCTTTGCAAATGAGTGTTGGACTGTCTCCTGTTAAAGTCTGTGGTGCCTTGATATGAGTGAAGACTTTTTTTTT